GAAGGCCCAGCTTAGAGCACGTGACATCCAACGCAATCGTGACGTAGGTCGTCTCAAGACGAGCAAAGCTACGGCGAGGCTGACGTCGAGAGGATGGCCTAGTCGTTCCAGCCACCGAAGCGGCTGCTTTTGTACGAATTTTGAGTGACGGGTTAATCTGCTATAATCTTCTAGGAGGACAATAGCGACTTCTGCGACACACATCTCGGGAAGAGGGGAGTTCCTCCTTCCCCCTTCTCTCGTCGTGGCCGGAGACGAGACAACCTTCGTCACTAGCTGTCAAGGTTCCTAGACGAGCATCACAAACGAGGCGTTAGCGACATCCACCAGGTGCTTTTTGCTAATCGTTTAATTCGTTCTAAAATTCTTTTTAGAGACTTTTTTAACAAGATATTGGTATGTTCCATGTGATACTGCTCTTTTGAACACATATAGACCAAAAAATGAGCGCCGAAATTTCGTTGTAGTATCCCTTGAAGATAAAGCAATTATTTGTATATCATTCGAAGGAACGTCTTAATAACAAAATATGACATAACGTTTAATTTTGTAGCTTTTCAATGTTTGTAGATAACGGCTCATAAATCTAGTGACAAAAAGTCAAAGGAGCCAAGTTAGCGCAAGTTTGACGCAATATATTTAACCTCCCCAATACTGTACATATATCATGCAATACTTCCCATGACCTATTATAAGTTTAAATTATGTGAGAGTTTTGATATTTGTATCTTGCGTAGTAGGTGTCACCAAAAATGGCATGCACGAAAACTTGAAAAGTCAAATATGCCGTTTTGTCGCACTGAAAGTTTTTTTTTTACTTTTCATTTAGGTATTATGTTTTCCACAAAAATTTTTTTTTTTGACTACGTGTTCGGCACATGTCCAGGAGTAACATATAAAAAATTATTAAAAATAAAAAAATACGCCCGGACACGCGAGCATAATAATACCTGAACAGAGCCTTTACTTTTTTTTTTTTTAGCATTTCGTATAAATTCTACCTTCGAGCACCTTTCATTAGGTATGGACTGGTCAATTTCAGACGCTGGAGGTGTACGCGATTTTGTGCTGATCACTTCTGTGTGTTTTGTGTGATCACAACGTCCCTAGTTTCTATGAGCATCGATCACCATTTCGGTACAGTCAAGTATTTCGAAGAAGTTCCTTCACGTCACCAGAAGTCTGAAATGAAAACAGTGAACATGTCGCATTTACATGACCTTAAAACGGTTAAAAAATCACTGATCACAGCTTCTGTTTGTCATCGACGTCATCGTTTGTATATCGCACGAGGCTTATTTCTGGTTTAAATATCTCCCACCGCCACAGAACTCCGTAGTTGGTATGTGCTTGAGTTTCACTACAGAGCGCTCAAGGAATCCAATCGTGGCAATTTACTGAAAAAAGTTAGTAGAAGAACGAGACTGGTGACTACTTATAGAAAATAATCACGTCTACAATATGACAGTTACACTAAGTCAGTGGCATAGCCAGAACTTTGTTTCGGGGGAGGGGGTTAATGGCAGGAATGCCCCCCCCCCCCCTCCACCGAATGACGAAGCAGGATGAGCTCGGCGGTACAGACGCTCACGCAAAGATTATTGAGGCGCTGTTAAGATAAAACGGGTAGAGCTGCATTGTCGTTTTTGACAACGGGGCGGGCTTCATTTACAGGAATACGGGCGTGGTGGCTCACTGTTCTTTTGTCGTCGTTGTTGCGGCCCACCAACTTTAAAGCTTCCTCACAGCACACAACTCCGGCCGCTTTTTGAGGTCACTGCATTACCAACGCCTGAAGGCCAGACAAAACAGAAAAACAGCTGTAGACCAGTGTCCGCTTTGTTCCATAAGCGCAGCCATGTTTGTTTATGGTGTCGTATTGACACGGTAAAAGGGGGAGGGGGCTGCGTTTTTTGCGATACTCCGTTTTTTTAGAAACCTTCGCACATATCGTAGTGCAAGAATGTCGGAAACACATAGTCACGAAGCTCCAAGAAGAACACCAGTGCCAAGAGTGCTGCAAAGCGCTAAGGCCTTGTTTTCTTCGCAGCCCATTTTGTCGGAACAGCCTGCGCTTGAGATCATTATTTCACATTTTTATCTCTGAGGGCTACGATTTCGGACACTGGTCCATAGGCAACCTGCAATGCTGTTTGGTTTGGCGCTATCTAGCGACTGAAGCAAAAGACATTGGGTATGCATGGGAGTGGCAGCTGCATTGTTCGAACGTGAGCCATTACTTTGGTGGCGCCGCTATAGCCTAGTGTTTGAAGCAGGAAATACTGGGTAGGCCACGAAGCCGTGATCGCATAACATGCAAGTACGGCGGAAGCTGCGGCCTGGCGGGCCGATAGGAACGTGACTTCGTATCACCGGAGTGCGCTTTTACTGCGAAGAAGTATCAGGCTTTTCCCTGCGCCATGCTCCAATATGTGTGCGTTGCGCTCGTATACGTAGCGGATATCAAAGCCGTCAGCATGCGTTGGGAGGGCTTATCGTTCACCCTTTGCCAAGTTACACCGAGGCAGGGTATAACCTTGGGCTCTCACTTTACTGGCGCCGCCTGGCTGTTACCGGCAGGCTATACTGTCACAAAAAATAAGCAGCCCCCCCCCCCCCCCCCAAAAAAAAAAAGAAAAAACAACTCTGGACGCTGGAAAATTAGAGCAACAGTCCTGGCACATACATTAGGGGCCCATATGTAGGGCGAGGGTAATTCTGAAAACTCACAAAATCAAAATTTATTATCTATTAAAGGTTTAACAAATTCGTGTTAGAGAACAAGATTCCTAAGGAAAAAGTTATTTTTGCTAGGCCGCTTTATTTTGCAGCGTGGTCCAAAGACAGCAGCGGCATATCCTCGGGGCGATGAGAAGTCGTCAGTCCGAACTTGTCGTTTTGTCACTCGGAAAAATGACATCACACACTACCCGCAAGCACGCAAACCACACGCAGAACGTGGAAACGAGCTTGAATATTCTTGCGCCTATACGTAGTGAGAATATGAAGGCTCTTCGGAGTTTCTGGTGCTCGGTGCAACGAGAACATTAATCTAATAAAAAATTGGATCGGATGCCACCTGGACATGCAATGCAAAAAGCCAGACGGACTTCATCGCATCCGTGAGCGACCTTCGAGACGGGCGTCTCGATGGAGGAAATTTTCAAGAAGTGAGGGAATCTTTGCTAAAAATAGGCAAATTTGAGGCGTCCAATGGAAGGGAGAGCAACATGAAACGCCCGTCCCGTCTGCGCTACAGGCGGTCGCCCTCTGTCCGGAGGCCCTATTCCCAATCGTCCATCGTCTCCTCAAGATCCTAACGACTCTGCGGGTAACAGTGGCGGAAGTCTCTTCACTACGATGGCTGAAAACATACCTGAGAGTGTGCACTTCGAATGAGAGACTGCTCGGTCTAGTGGTTTTGAATATTCACCGCGACATTAAAGTTCAAGTGGTGGATATTGTGGATGTTTTTTGCCGTGAACGCAGGCGCCTGCATTTTAATATGTAGGCGCTTGGCATAAATGAAAAGATCAAGAGAGCCTGCAAATTGCTTTATGAAATAACTAGTCACAGCTACTCCTTTATTCGAGGTAATTTCAAGTCGAAAGCACGTAATTCTGGTGAGTACACAAGGTGTGCGTGAGCGCAGCGCCACCCGTTGCTTGCAGTGGAATTGTTCTTACAATTTATTTACTATTCCCTATGCCACTGACATTGTTTTATATTATCACTATGCGTGAGTTTTATTAGTTCATTTTAGTTTGATTTAACTCTGTATTTCAGTAAGGATAGTTTGTTATACTTTGCCTTAAAATTGCCATCCTCCATTCCACAAATGTTTTGAAATATCTGTTCTCTGTATATCTGAGATCAAGTTCCTCATCCCAGCAAATAAGCATAAATGAAGATATATTGACTATTTTATTTATTTGAGCATTTTCCACCTCATAAGCATTCCTCCCAAAAGCATATAAGTTGGAAATGTGAGATAGTCCCCGCTTTCCCCTTTGCTCTGTGCCCCGTGCAAGACCGACTGCGTGAGCAGGGTAGCGAGCGCCTCCTATGACCGGGGGTGGGGGGGTTAGTTTCAGCATTTCGGGGGGTTTCAACCCCGACTCTGCCCCCCCCCCCCCCCCCCCCCCCCCCCCCCGCTTACGCCACTGCACAGCGTATGCTGCATATGATCCTGCCTTGATGATTGTGGCATCGTACAAATCAGACTAGTTGTTTCAACTAACTGTGCCAAAACAGAAAAAAAAATCTGGTGAACACGCTGGGTAATAAATTAACTGAGTATTGTTCAAAGTCATATCAAGCAAGCAGATATATTTATATGTTCAAAACTGGCTAACTAGTATACCTTAATTAGCCAAGTTTTTAAGTATAATAATTTGTGCGCTAATCCTCCATACCAAACTTGTAAAGCTTGTTCAGAAACATTGCATCGTGTCGTTTGCGACTGGGCAGCCTTCGCGTGTATTTTTTTGTTGGCTTTATAGAACGCGCGCGAAATTTCAAACCTCACACGTGACTACGACGCAAAAGTCGCAGTTTGCGAGCGTGTACTTACGTGGGTTTTCGTTTAAACCTCGCGCAAACTTTTTTTTTTTTCAGTCTAGAAAACAGTTAGACAAACGAAGTTTACCTTGAAGGAAACTAGACAATGGGACGTTTCTCAATACGCTCTGCAACTGTTTTATTAAAAATCTAGCGCTCATATTAAAATTAAAATAAAAAGTTCACTTAATAATAATAATAATAATAATGTTTTATTTGCTCAGGAGAGCGCGGCACCGCAGAAAGGCAAAAGCCCGTACCAAGGAGGCCCGCGGTGCCGTGTCTAGTGATGGTGATTATGTGATGATGTAATGTACAGATGAAAATGTACAGATGACACTTCGGAGAAGAAAGAAAAGTTAAGCGTTAACGTACAATTTTAATACAAAAATATGCGACTAGGCAGCTTACGCCGTGCAGGAATCGTGAATAAAGTGGTACTAAGGAACCGTGGGAGAAGTTCAGAGGAAGTTCATATCCCACGAGAAGCCTATTTTAAATTAAAACTTGGGTATCTTGTAGAAAATATTATTTATTATTTTGCAACGATCTTGACATATGCTCATTTCGTGCACATACTGCTGAACTATATACACAGAGAATATTTTTAATGAGAAGTAGTGAATGATGAATACTACTTTTCATATCCGAATCTACATGGGATAACGTTTTCTTTTAAATAAACTGTAGAGACTATGATTATACGAACTCAGCTTGTTAAGCATGTCAATCATCGTCTTGATAATTGTTCAAGGTCACATAAAAAACAACGTATACATATACCACACAAATACCGATTGTTTTACTTTGAACACGGCCAGATAAATTTTGTTTATAGTATGGGGCAAAACGTACTTCAGTGTTTTAAAATTTTACTGGAACCCAGGTATGAAAAAAAAAAAAACATAAAAAGCCAACGGAGGGACATTTGCAAAGTGGACGGCTTAACATACACACCAGCCCTGCGTATTCTACAATGTTTTGAAGCATAAACGTAAGCAGCAACTGTAAGAAGTAAGTTACTCTGGAAATGAGGTCTCCGTTCGGTATTTTGTTTCACACCGTCGTATTTGCTAGATGGTCATCATCGGAAAAGGGAGTCCCGCTATCAGGCATCTGGTAGCCGTATCTGTTGTTCTCGATGAACAGAGGTTCTTCTTGGTCCAATCCTTTCCAGAAAGCGTCGAAGTCAATCGCAGGCCCGTCTCCTCCGTACTCTTCTGGTAGCGCACTGGCCGGGATCTGCTTGTGCAGATTTTCGAAACTCCATCCATGACAAGAGATCTGGGTGGGAATAAAAAAAAACATCAACTAAGCATTTGAAAGTTAATTTCTGGAAGTGTTTTGTCGCATTGACATAAATGCGGTCAAACCATGTGCCTTACGGGGTTGTACACATTCGTTTTCATAATTTCATATTGGAGAACAAAATCAATTGTTATTTGTCGCGTGCAATAGTGAAGGTACATTTAAATATATAGGCTATGTTTATGTTATGATAGACAGAACTACTCAGCCTTGACAACTTTCTCTTCATCCATACATCACAGTTAAAACTTTTTGATTTGATGTTTGTATTCGATAAAATCGACCAGATTCATTCGATAAAGTAAACTTATCATGACGGTTTATCACCAAAATAAACCTAGCTGTACTAACAATCTGTTTGGTGATATAAGGGATTGCTTAACAAAATGAAACAGATATAAAACTGTGTGAGGTTGGTAAAATTGCCGGACATATAGTAAAATAGTCTTTAAGAGTTGAGCATTGCAGACTTTAGACATTTTTATACGCTTCATTTGTTCATTCAAAGTAGCCTAGAGGCATATATAAATCACGAGGTTGGCTAAAACATTAGCTGGGAAGATCGGCGCGTGCACATAAAAGTGTTAAATTTTCGTAGAGAAAATATAAACGTAAGCACTTTTTGACAAAAGTCTGTCTGGTTGCGAGAAGCCATTATATTCCAAATGAGCTGAAACCAAGCCTTAAAATAAACATCCCAACGATTGTAAAGCCAATCGTTTCCTTCATTTAGGGTGTCAAGTTTTCCCATAACAACAGCACCTTCCTCGCAGTGCGGGCCTTTTGTGGCCTGATCCGGTCAAGGGACGTTGGCTCTTGACGTACACAGACGGAAAAGCACACAGGGACGAGTTTGTTTCCCGACGCGTTTTGCATACGCCCGCATTCAACGATAAGTCTCTTCCGGATATTAGGCTTTGCGACAATCCCTCGAGTTTTCTCTAAGTCGGTACGATGATCGATCGATAACCTCGCAGTGATATGCGACTATACTGAGCTCGAGGTCGATCATGCGCAAATCGTCTTTTGGCTGGCCTTGTACTTATTTTTTTTTTGTTACAAGCTATTACCCAAGTAGCTAGTTTTGGGGGCCAAAATATGGTCTTTGTCTGGAAATATAAAACCTTAACAAGCCCGAAAAAGCTAAAGTAGAAATTAACCTTCTTTGATCCAGAGTCTGGATATCTATCTTGGCTTAAAATAGCCAGACAAGTGTCAAAGCTAAGCTTCACTGCTTGTTCTGAGGTTATGCGCGACATCTTACGATTGAGTCTCATATTTGGACAATTATGTGGAAAGAAAAGCCATAGAAACGCCACAAAAAAAAGTAGTGTAGCACTAATTAACACCCTGAAGCAAAACCGGTTTATGCCGAAGTTAGGCCCCTAGGGTCGCCAAGCTTATGCCAAGTTAGGCGTTTGACTGGCGAGCTACAATACTAGTTCTCCGATGATAAATTTTTTCCAGCTAATTCTACTGCAAGCATCACTAGTTATACCACTCTGTATGCTCTCCATAGAGAACAAGGAAATACACCGCCAAATTAATAAAGGTTTGAAATAAAAAAAGAAACCCTAGTCATAAAGAATTATAAATATTGATTAGAAATTCGGGTATTAGGAACAATGCTCGTGCTAACCTTTCAGCGTAAATTATTCGTGTGCTACAAACTTTCCAATTTAACGCTGAAAGCCAGCAACTTGTATTTTTCTAACCAAATTTGATACTTACCCTATCTCTTATTTTCTTCTTGATAAAGGGCCGCAGCACCGCGAACAAGAGATCGAAAGCGTAGGACTCCCTGACGACGTGGATCGCTTTCGTCCTCAGTGGCAAGCTGTCCTGTAAACAAAGTAGTAAAGAAATTAGGAACGTCTTTTTAAGGTTTTTCTCTATTCTGTCATCGTTCTGTATGCTAAACTAAGGAATGCGCGCATGCCGTTATTCAAACCTGGTGCGTATACTTTGCACTCTTTCACGCAACCCTCTCTACCGTCAGTACGCCTGCGAACGACACAAGTGTAAACACAATACTATCCAAAGATAGTACGGCAATGAAACGTTTGTCGGAGTACTTACAACTCTTTTCGTTAAATCACAATTTATCTAAATAATTGCGTCATATTCAAACGTAGTTCGAAGCGGGTTTTGTGTGTTCGTCCCTGAAACAAAACTAAATCCAGTTTACTGAACGTCGGATGAACGTAACATGACTGTAGGGACTTTGAAATAATACTGAGGAATAAGTAGTCGAGTCCGTTTAAGATATTCAAATATAATTTACGAAACTTGTTCTACACATCAAAACGGCCGCGTGAATGGCTCTCAATTTACCTTCATACTCACAATAAAAAAACAAAACAAAAAAAAAAAAAAAGAAACGACGCGCGTTTTTTACCCGGAAAAGTAAAACCAGGACTGATAGTTTCGATCTACCAATGGTGGCTTGTAACATCGACGAGGGGCCAGTGACAATGGCTCCAAAGTACAACTGTGACGAGAACAACAAGCATGCAGAACATAATGTTCAGAAGCCCAACGTATTTTTCAGGACAGATGATTTTTTTCTATTATTAATTCAAAAGTTTAAAGTGGCGCGAACTGCAACACGATCGAAATAAGAAACGGGCTTGACAGGGACAGACGCCACTTACAACAGATTTTATTGAAGAAACATCCACTCAGCCAATTTGTCGTTCACCATTGCGTTAAACAAACCACAAACAAGTCATGGACATTGTTATTCGCTGGACGTGATCCGTAGGTGCGAGCGATGGACTTTCCAACTGCAGTGATGCTGTGATTGCCATTAGCGTTTTGTTGAGTTGCGTGACATCAAGAAACTGAGTTAGATCGCTTGACACATTTTAAAGCTCTTACGAAGACAGATTCCAAAGCTTGTGGTAGTTTTTATTTTTCAAATATATTTCACGCACAAGTTTTGCGTTATCGGCTAATATATTGGTATATGGTTGTTTGAGACTTCGTAGTTACTGACAGGGCTGCACGAAGCGCAGGGCCATGCTTATTATGATCATGGTTCTTACCTCGTGATTTATTGTTCGGCGTGTTTACAGCGTCTAATGCCGCCACCTTATTTACTGCGGAGTGATAATAACACGATCTGGACTCAGCGTATGATCTGTGTTTATTAGGCTGCCAGTAACTGTACGGCGAGCAAGTGCTGCAAAATGCGTCTTCGGTTGATTCGTCGAAACGCTATGAGGGTAATGCCGCTTAAAAGACTACAAGGTACGCACAGGCAACGCGCGATAAGGAGGCAGTCATGGGCGCGCCATCTTTGGTTAAGGTCTGAGGAAGGAAAAGAATATGGACGCATTTGGCGGGGAAAGAAATGCACGAGATGCGCGAGGAACAGACAAACTTGCAAGCTGTATAGTTCCAGTTAATCCTCATCAATCGGATTCAAGCGTGTAATAGGATAGTTCGATGGTATTGTATGTATTTGAACTAAACATCTAAAGTGCTGGCAACCCCTAAGTTGTGCTTCCTGCTATGTCGTGGCTTTCATTATAAATAAGGCGGCCTTCATCTAACAAATATTTCTTTACTCAGTAACAACAGAAATGTAGCTTTTAACTTGGTGTTTTTCACAATCGTGAATGCGTTGACATTTTTGCTTAGAGCATACAGGCAGCGAATTACACTAAAGGGCTTATTGATTATATGCACGACACCTAGAGCTAATTAGAGTGAATCGCCCGCTTTAAATTTGTAAAGAACAAGAGACCACTGCTAGACTCAAACGACACTCGCAGAAGGAAGACTTTCTTGTTCTAATTTTGTCTTGACTTTTATTTTATAATCACTGCCAGTGAACTATGCCAAGCGCGTGACTAACCTCAGCAAGATTATAAAAAATTACCCCCGCGTTTATTTATTTCAACTAACAACTAATACATTAAAGTAAGATAAAAAGTCATACAAAGAGAATTTAATGTATGGCAAATTGACCCGAAGGAAAATAGGCCTAAACATCCAATCTTTTCTGGAACCTTGGACGTAGCGCTTAACATTGTTAGTGCCTCAAAACTAGTGGCACTCGTATGATCAAAATGTTTTATGTTTGGCATTGTCATTTGTTGACCTTCCCTCGTTGACTGAATGAATAGGCTTCCGAACAACCTCGCACGAAAATATGTTGCTAATACCCCATTCACACGACCGTAAAGGTACCTTTAGCTAAAAGACCTATATTCTCTGCGGCCAATCAATTAACGATCTTCGGCGCGTGGCGTGAGATCGCGCCCCAAGAGCACGGGCTGATTCGCCGATAGCAAAGGGACCTATTTTATACGTACCTTTATGCTGACCGTGTGAATATGGTATAAGGCACTTTCCTTTTCAAGGATTGTATAATTACATAACTTATTCAATAAAATAAAACGAGACAATTGGGAAGCACTAGACCAACGATGTTGATGCAGTCTCACTCAGTCATTTTGCAGTTGCAAGGGACTGCACAAAGTTTGACAAGCTTAATAGTCTTGTAATTTCGCTTATGCAATTGCAGTGTTGATGAATAACTGCACTCGCAGATTAATTAGCCGCGCATTTCTACGAAAATTTCTTCCTTAACGAAGCGATATATGTTAAAATTAATGATAATGATTTGATAAAAACATATTTTGTCATTGAATTAACAGCAAAAGGTCGTCATTTTTTTATTTTAATATATTTTTTGTTTTCTTTTTAATACAACGCTTTTTGTACTCCCCGAATGATCTTAAACGCTCTCCTTTCGAGTGTAAATCTTTGTTCTCGGTTCATATCTCGTTATTTATAAATAAAGTATTGCGTTCAGATATTTAGGTTCAGGCGTCTTACAACAATTCTCTCTCCTTGTGATTTTATGCGGAAGAAGTTAATGAATACATTTACGAATGCACAGCTGTGTCCTTATACTCGCTCGTACAGGCATGATTACATGAATACGAAAAACCTCCGCTGACAGGGAGGATACTCATGTACACCAAGTCTTTTAACCCTCACGTGGACCTTTGTATACTTTTTAAAAAGTTCAAGAATAGTATAGTGGTCAGGATTGCCGTGTAGTTTGTTTAGTTCAGTGCTGTTTTATTATGTCAAGTGTAACCCTGAAAAAGGTCCCGAAAGCAGTTTGGGAGACACAATAAAGCTCTGATTGATTAATTGAAGTACATAGGACATATCACATTACAACGAGTCCTTAATATTGTAATTTCAGTTTTGTGAATAAAGCTTCTTAATAAGCGGGGTTTCATAAGACTATGAACGCTGCAATCAACACTAACCTACAACCATTAAGCAAATAGTTGTCTGCCGTTTAAAACTGTTCCCAGCATATTCTTGATTCTATCTTCGCTCAGGACCTTTTCATTTTAGAACTGTTTACAGGCCTATTTTTGAAGATAAAAACACGTGAAACGAGGAATCGCAGAAATTTATTCCGGGCCTCCTCATTTGTTAGGCATTATTTTTGAGTGCAGCAATTAGTCCATTGTGCTCGACGAGTAAGAAAAAAACACACACACAAAAGAAGCATTTTCACAGAGTGCCACGCCGCCTACCATGTTGGGATTAAAAAAAAAAGTTGATATACGGTGAAGTACCGTCACCTGTAAATAGAGTAGACCACGTTTCATCAAGCTGATATTGCAGGAGAACATCTTGCTCGTGGTGTATCCCCCGAAGTCAACGACGTATGAGATGCCGGCCATCTGGGACGACGAATCATTTGCCATGTGGTCAAGACACATTACGCACGCTTGCTGGAATTCTTCGTATGATACAGTGTCTGGCATCCATGCTCCTGGGGGAAGACATCTCTTGTCACAACTCATTTACATGCACGCAAAATGAGCGCCCTGATTAAATATGTATACTCTCAAAGTCGAAATGACCGGTGTAGAAAACGGGTTCACTAATCGTTATACCATAAGCCCCTGTTCGAAGGGAGCATTACTAAACTTGTCCTTGGGTTTAAAATTAACTGACGTTTTGTGAATCGTTAATCCACACTGATTGCTCCAGGAATAGTCTTCATAAAACAAAGTTAAAAGTGCGAGGCAACTTTCCCATTTCTATGCAAATTCTACATGTCTAATCACAATCTGTCACCTATAAAGATGTGATTCCGGTTACAAGCATTCAAAGAAGGTGTCAAATTTGTTTATTGCGCAGTTGAGGACATATAAACTATTGATAGTTATATAAAATTTGATGATTAGGTAATAGAAATCACTTGCCAATGTGGTCGACATCTATACTCAGTAAGATTATGGGCTAGATTTGACAGAGCTAAATAACTACGGCTTGATTAATCTGTTACGTCTTATAAAAAAACATTATCTTTGACAGTAGCGAACATTTTTTAGCTTTTTTCTACATTGTCAGTTCTATTTATCATGAGTTAGAGCTAGGTTAGGTAATTACATTGAAAAGTATGACCCAGCGGTATTGTTTCTAAATAAACATAAATACTTGTCGCAGGGCAGGCGCCCCTTCTCTCGAAGGAAATTCAAAATAAAAGAGTAATTATTTTCTTTAACAGAATCTGCTATTATACATCGTTTGTGGCTTGAGATAGATCAGGAAGGACCACAAATTTGTTTTCAAGTTTTGCCTGTTGTCACCATGTCGATCCACCGAACCGTATTTTAGTATTTATAATGTTTTAATTTTAATTAACGCCGATTATTTCCAAAGCTGACTTTTAACTTTAAAAGCGGGGAGACATGAATGCTTGTCTATTGCTTATAATTGTTACTCGCCATGTGCAATCTTATTTTTGGTTGTTCTTGTATTGTTTTTTTTCAGACGACTTGCAAATAATGCTCCCGTCCACTCATTTTATCTCGCTTGCAAATAACATCTATCAGCTGTCAATTTATCTGAAAGCGAGGCAAATAGAGGCATATGAACTGGATTTTGCTCGAAAAGCTCGTTACGGAGTGTTACTGATTTCCCTCTTAATGTGGTTAATTTAATTACTTCTGTGTGCATATTGGACCACTCATACTTAATTCTAGCTGAACGCACACATTTTAAACGCGAAAACGTCGTGTTTGTGCTGTGACAACCAGTACCTCTAAAAACTACTTCGCACAACGAATAATTTATGCAAAAAAACTTGTTTATGGATTTTTTTTGTTTTTTGTGACGCGACAAGGAACATAGTACGTAAACATAAGCCAGAACCGTTCTCAACACTAAGGAAGAAGAAAGTTGGCTAATTTGTTAAATCGTCATTTAATTAATTGTTCATCCAATGAACCAACCGTCTTACGGTAAACGGCGTGCAGTGAAAATTCTCTTTGCTAAGATACAGAAACCCATCACTCGAAACAGTCTTAAGTTTTATTTCAGTCTATAGAACAGTTCTAGCATTCTGGGTGCACTTAAAAAACATAATAAAATGTTTCTATAATCTTAAATTTAAGAGCACGTTTTCTTCTTTGTGCACTATTTCACGCAGATAATCACGTAAATCTTGAAATATAGCTAGTGGCGGCTGAGGCATACGCCTGTAGGTTTTCCTTTGTTATTATTTTTGACAACAGTGCTTTACGAATTAGTATGAGACGTCTCCCAATTAATGTTTACTTCGGTTTGGTTTGGTTTTCGGTTGATTATAAATATGTTAATTACCACTGAAAAGGTAGAGCGATGTAAAATCTTTAAACAAATGTTTAATGAAGCAAGCTTGTATCTGCAAATATATATATCTATACAAAAGAAAATAAACCGTTCATCCAATGATGGGCACAAGTGGGTGAGTGAGCTCCTACATATAAATGGCGCCTTTACAACTTCGGAAGTCGAGGACAATGTACACCAGCAAGCACAACAGCAATTAGAGTGCAACATATCAAAACAGAAAAAAAAGGCGATTTGTTTAGGAGTCACCCTAAACTCGCGAACATATTCAGTTTTCATAGCTAGTTGCTCAAGATATCCGCACCGAAGTAACACAAGCACCAAAGCCAGAGGCACAAGATACGGCGCTGTTTTGACCCTCTTGTCTTGGGCCTTGTGATATTTCGGCGCTGTTCTTTGCTATGAACTAACTGGCCCAAATCACCATCGTACTGATAGTTGCTTTAGTCCCAATCACCATAATGTATACTCCGGCGGCGCCTTTGACATGCATCGTATTCTTTTTTGTCGTATAAGTTATTGGAGTGGTAACACGATCAACAGGAATTTTCTAGTCTCGGTTTACATCCGGTTTAAATTCCCAAAAACGTTCCCAACTATACTTCGTTTCAGCTTACGTCCAGACAATGCCGACGCTACTAGGTAATTGAACAAATCATGCAGCGTCAGAAGAGCAAGTTACTGGGCCTTCTTTGTTTATGATTCGTTCAGCGATGATAGAATGCGTACATAGGCATTTCGAACACCATAATGGTGCACTTTTGACTTTGTCTGATTGGTCCCATCAGCTCGTAGTGTCGGCTACGTCTCGACTTATGGTGAAACGAAGCAGAAATGGCTCCTGGTTCCCGTTTGACTTCCAGGTCAAGAGGTTTCAGGCAAATAAAACAAAACGTACTTTTCAATGCTCAGACTAACTCCATGCTAATTAATAGGTTTAGAAAGGGCGAACGACACGAGGACAATGGAGGCACAAAATGAGGACAAATAAGACATTGATTATGCCCTTCGACACTATCATTATGTCGAAAGACAGACGCTAGGACCAAGAAGACGCCAAGACAACGTGAGAGGCGCCTAGGACAAAGAAGACACGAAGACCACAAAACGGGCGCCATGACAAAGGAGACGCGAAGACAACCGCGCAGGCGCTAGGACAAAGACCCGAAAAAAGGACAGGCGCTAGAACAAAGAAGGCACGACGGCAACAGGACAGGCTCCACAAAGCCTGTCCTGTTGTCTTCGTGTCTTATTTGTCCTAGCACCTGTCCTAAACTTTTTAATTAGTATAGACCAACTAAGCTAAAACCAAAGTTAATATAAGCCCATGTCAGTCTCCCTCCAGCCAATACCACCTAGAATGTAACCAAAGCCTGTGAATTAACCTCCACGAATCGTCATCGCACTAAGATGGCGTTAACTCGGGAACAGAGCCCGAGTCTTACGCCGACGTAAACATTCGGGTCTAATTTGTTTCTGCGTTTGATGCCACTGCGGGCTTCGATTGTTCTGGGTGCTGCTGCTCCGGCTTGCTGCACCGTGCGTGACCCAGTTAGGTTGTGGAGAGGCGCAAGGCGCTTACCGATTCTTGTAAGGAGAACCAAGCGGCCGCGGACGTCTCGTTCTGGCAACACGACGTGCAAACACTTCGCTTCTTGCTTGACGCTGGACGGCGTTAAGCCGCTGAACAACGAAGCGTAAGCGGCGCGGTTTCTGTAGTAGTTCTTGATGGTCTTCAGGGCAACGTTCACCTTGAACTTTCGGACACGCAGAAAGCGCAGAAGGAACTCTGGGTCCGTCCTTGCATTCAGGTCGCGCTCCCCTGGGGAAAACAAAACAATTTTGAGCGAAGACGAAGCTTCGGGTTTATTTTTATTGCGACTAAATGAACACTTTGACATCATCGCTTTTTTTTCATTTAACGTATCGTTACTTCACAATATTAGCGTTTCCTTTGCGATTATTGCCGTGGAATCTATACTCGTGGTCCATTCCTCCTGCCCAGCGACCAGGGTTCACGCGTTTTCTTTACTCTGAATTTTAAACCGACGCTTAAATATTTGTCAGTAAGCCTAATTCAATGACATGCCTTATTCTTGGGGAAGAATGTCGCCAATTTCACTTTTTATTTAACTTTTTTTTTAAACATATTTTAACTAAATTAAGGTTTTTCGAAAAACATGCACTCTGACCTTCAGTTTCAATTAAATAATATAGATTCTTCGTTGGTGCTATTCCAACATAGTAGGCACTTCAGAAAGGAAATTTTATATAAACTTAACACATTAATTTTTTTAGATAATCTTAATATGTTTCATGTTATTTTTTCTCATTTGTCGACTATTCCTCGCACCTTGAAAAAAAATCAATTCTTTGATTCACATTCAACAGAAAAACAGCACAGACACAATGATTAGAAGCACAAAGGTGAGGGGGCCGACTATGAGAACTAAACCGAAACTGTGATATTAATGAACAAACACACCTGGACTACCATATGTTTTCCTGCTTAAGCTTTGCATGCTCTATTCGTGAAATTAATAGTTTCCTATTTTAAGTCTAATAAAAGTTATGTTCATAAAGCCTAGATTGACGATCTGAAGAAGGACATGTTCGCTCAAGAAGCGAGTCCCCCTGATTTTTGGCGTATCCACTTATTTCATCTGTGTATTTTGAATTTTCACAATCTTCGTAATGTTCCTAAAACATTACACGACACGATACAAAATAACAATGTACTTTTGTCCTTGGTTTATTAGTGTTTGTGAAAACCTTACGTTTTTTGCTGTTGTTTCTTCTCCCACTTGTGAAAACGAAATTTTGAGTCACTCTATTTTTTCGGTGGTCGTTTCATTCTTAGCTTCTTACCAAGGAGAAGCTGTGTGAGTTTCATCAACGCCTCTTTTAGTCCATCTTCGGTTTCACCGAACTCGATTTCGGCTATCCTCTGGAGCTCCGGTGGCAAAGGCGTGATCTTGGTTTTCAGCCTATCGGAAACATGCTCGGCCTCGTCGTCCGATGACATAGTCTTCACCTGTGAGACAATTACATGTAATTAAACATTCGCTGTAAGCGATATCAGGTTAGAATAAATATAGTCTGGAGCATATTCTTGGTCTTCGCGCCGGGCACGCACAGAGAAGTAACTAGATATAGTTTATCTTTAGTTGCTTCTACTGTAAAGCAAATACGCTACTTTTTATATTGTCCCGAAAAGAAATGCTGTATGGTACAGCCATGGGCGATATTAAAAAGCCCAGGCAAGCGCGTGGCTTTGAAGACATCCAGTTTTATTTAACGGAAGTAAGCTGAACTATCACGGAGGATGTAGTGTGTACCAGCGACATATCAGTGTCTGTTAAATTTCCGTCGTTACTACCTACTTGGTCTGCAAGCGATCGCTCAGTCAACATCGATTTCAGTGTGATTTTTAGATGAATTTTGCGTACTCGACAAAAAGCATCGGTTAAAAATTTTAACCCGATTAGTCGCCGCTTCTTAATCAATAAATTAATAGACTAATCGGCCTTTTTCATTTTCATACATACAATATTTAAAACGTCAAATTTACTTTTTCTTCATTTGCTAAATTCGTGATAAACGGCGCAGTATACAATTAAGAGTTAAAAAGCACTCACACTCACAGATTTTTACTTAAGCTGCATGAGGCAAAGACGTTCTTTAATATTCTCCGGCAAGAATGACCTCCTTTGATTGTTCACAATAGATTCTGCGGCGCAAAACGGACACTCGAGCGGCGTTGAAGGGGCCGGAACACGTGTAGCTATCTCTACTTGTCTGGAGTTACAAACCTCTCCCCTACAGCTTACGTTAAGTTAAAATTTCACCTAAAGTTTGCCACGCCTACAGGTATATACATGACCACGTCTGAGCGGTGAAAGCGTTTATATTACTTTTTTTCTATTAATGAGAAGTTTGCCGAATAACCGGTTGAAACAAAATCATCGCGATTAAAGCTTCAATTTATTAATCAGTAAGTCAAACGATTAATTGCCCAGCACTACTTTTATTCCGTCAACTTATTATCAAACGCACTAAAACTGGTAGCTCAACTTGCCAAACTGGTAGTTTCAGCCGCGCTAATCGTTGCCTTTTTTTTTTTTTCGCAGAGCGCTTGTACAATCGGTGCTAAAATTAGGGAGTTCTGGTAGATCGCTTTCGCCGCCCGGCAAAGCTCTCTGCAACTCGCTACGAAACCTGGAATTCTAGAGTCCTGGCCATCGGCGCTCAGGTGCAGTAGCGGCTTTCTCGTTGCGGAAAGCTTGGCGAAGAGGGGGGGGGGGGGGGGGGGCTTGGAGGAATGTTGTTTACGAAAACTCCCTATTAGAAGTAAGCGACAGCTGGTGCAGCGGGAAGTGACGACAAGTATTCAAAAGCCTCGGAAGCCTCGGCAATGGTTAAGCTTTCTAATGACAGATAGTGCTGCAGGGATTCTAAGCCACGCGAGCGCATGGGACTTCTAATATTGTTCTCGACACAGGTAGCTCACTACTAATGCGCAACTGGTATTAAATGTGTGCCACCGACAATCCATTGACCCCTGTACTTTTCAAATTTTCTACGTAAAGTGCGTTTCCAAGAGGTACCTTAGAAATGGCCTTTACGTTTCAACTCGCCCCAAAAGACAACTGCAAATTCATAACAAACTTGGGTGAGAAAGATACATTATTATCGTCCTTTAAAATATGAATTTTACGACATGGGTATTTCATGGCCATAGCAATATTAAGCAACAACTCGAGATTTTCAGCTATATGGATGTCCTGTTTTCTGGTCACGGAAACAGTCTCCCCACTAAATTTAGCGGAAAAATTGACGTCACAATCTGAGCACCAATTCAGTTTTCCCGCTAAGTTTGGCGGGAAAATTGATGTAAGAAGCTAGGCACCAATTCAGCTGGTTCCATTCAGATTTAGCGGAAAATTTGACATCAAGACGTATGCACCAATTTAGTTTCCCCACTAACTTTAGCGGACAACTTAACGCCACAAAAAATTGTAAGCCTTCTGAAAAAAAAAAAATGTGCTCCAGTTTTTGGTTGTCGTGACCGAACACCAGCCCGTGTGTGCAACGATAAATGCGTTTATAGATAATCGCCCAGTTGATTTTTACAATGTTTTTTAATTTATTTTTTATTCGACGTCTTTTTGCCTTTTGAAGCAGGATCTCTTCACCCAAACTTGTATTAGACTAAAGTCGCGTGGATATAGAACCAATACACGGTCATTCGGAGCTTTATGACTCAGCTTTTATCAAAACGGGACAACTGTTGCTAGAAACTAACGTGCTGAAGGTTTTTTTAGGCTTTCTCGATGAATGGAGTGATTGAAGATACCAAACATATTTACTGAAAACAAAAGCGCTCTGATAAACGTGACATGCATGTGTAATTCAGAAAATGTTTCTAATATATCAGAGCACATGCAGTATTTCCGGTGTCTTGGTTACGTCACCGCAGTGCTTTATGCACAACTGAAACAGTACCAGTCAATAACAGAAACTATTACCAATGACAATAAACAAACGTTATACGAGAGTTGACACTCAAAGTATATTTGACCCGTCTCAATAAACAAAAACAAAAAATTGCACTAACAACGTGTATTTCTTTTTTTTTTTTTTTTGGAACGAGAAATTTTCTTTTTTTTCATAATAAATTATATTTTTAGACTTTGGACTGTTTCCACTTCGTGCTTTTTATAACGATTGGCACTACGAGAGCTGATAAAACGATGATTTGTCTAGATTTTGTTTTGAGCAATTGCTAATAGAAATGCTAAAATTCTGAAGAAAACTGAATGTTAAAGGGCTATATAGTATTTATATGGCCTTGTATTGCAGTACCTAAATTGGATTTTAGGTTCCTTATTTACCATATATGAGAAAATAAATTTGCTTGCATTGATATCAAAATAATTAAGGCATTCCACTTGTAGTAAAGACATATTCTGAAAATAATATGGTAAGATATATTTTATAGGCTAAGAAAAAATAACCGTGTTTCTCGACCCGGGGTAGATAAAAGGTGCACCGCAGAAAGCTCGAACTCCGGGAGAATATGACGCTAATGGTGGGTACAGAACGCGAAAGTTTGAAAACATGACGTTACTTGGATGAAAATATCATTGTGAAAAACGAAACTTCTCTGTGAGCGGACGTCCACCTAAGCTTACAATTGTCAAAACAAGAAATGACATTGTGGGCGCCTGTAGCATCTATTGCAGTGATAAAGAAAAACATGCCAGCAAGATAGGAAACAGTATCCGCTCTTTTGTCTACAAGTGTTTCCCAGTGATATAACTCCTACAAGCATCCGCAATGCCGAGTTTTGTTTTGACAATATTAGGCTTAGGTGGGCGTTGACTCATAGATAGGTTTTATTTTTCTCAATTATCTTTTGATCCAGGTAACGTAATGTCCTCAAACTTTCGCGTTCTATTTCAACCGCTAGGGCATTGTTCTCACTGAGTTCGAGCGTTCTGTGATGCATCTATGGTTTATTTACTCGGGCATAGAAACGCTGTTCTCGTTTCTCGGGAACTCCATGTACATTTGTTTTTATCTAAAACGTTCTGTCCTTCAGTAATTTTATACGAAAGGTATCGCCAAAAAGAAAGAACCCGCCCTCTGCCGCAGTTGGCACTTTCGCAGCTGTCATGCAGATGGCAATTCTATGTTAGTATACCTGGTAGACTACGAAATTCTTCGTCCCGAGGGACGCTAGGCACAAATACGACTTTTTACATTAACACCAATTTCTGAAGGTTTCTTTGTTTGCTGATACATGAAAAAACTACAAACCCAATTGTAAATACGTTTTAAAACACCACTATATTGCTTCGATAGCTGGTAATATGCGTTGTGAAAACGTCCTCGTGGAGGTCGTCGAATGTACGAGGAAAAATGAGTGGATACATTCAACAAGGAATTATAGGTGTGGAAACGACAAACAATCATTCAATCTTAGAGGGAGGATAGCACGCAGTGCAAATGAGGGTGAAACATCCGACATCCATGGACGCAGAAGCCGCACAAAGTGCAGATTGCTGCAATCTCTCGGTGGGCGTACATTTCAAGGTAAGGACTGAGGACTGACAAGAAAACAGAACTTACCTTTGATTATCTTTGTATATGTATAGTCCGTGGCTTCTCATAGATAATCCAGCATTTATTATGGTGATGAACAAGTAAAGCACGTAGGACGTAGGCCCTGCAAAGAAAAATGCACCGGCTCACTTTGATCTACCTTGCTTTTTTGTGGATGGGACCGGGGAATGCGTACATATGCCGCAGTATGGTGTTGTAATCCTGCCAGCACAAATGAACAGCGCTTTCAAACCTAGAGATAACCGAGCGTACATTACGTCATCACGAAATATAATCAGACAACGCAGAGAAAGCGCACGGGCACGTTGCCAGCGTAGATATCGGAGAGGTTTCCTGCGTGACCTGCTTTCAAACTCCTGGAGGCGGGGAAAACGTGAAACATGGTGTTATGTGGTAAGTTTCCTACGCCAGATAAGCTTGCTTGATGTCAGTCCTGAGAGTTCTTTCTATGGCGCGATTCTTTAACCATATATGCTGAAACATCACTGAAGCGATACACTTGTTATGTCATTTCACAATGATATTTTATCCGACAGGCAGTAACATTGAATCTCCGGCTGAAAAATGTCATAAATAGTTTACTGAGATTTCCTAAATTGATTTATTTATGAGCCGATAAACAGTAGCCTAATTTAACTAACCTAAGCTTTGCTATATATTTATTTCGAAAACAACTTGAAAGAATTGAAAAATAACTTTGCTCCCATTAGAAACTAGAAACGCGAGCGAACTCCTATTGACACGTGCGTTTGTACATATTTAGTGTTTAAGGCACAGAATTAAGCTTGTAATACGTTTTTAGTATGAATAAATAGTAATATAGTTGAAGATTATTACCTTAACCCAGTGTGAGTGTATGAAGCAAGTTGGGTAGCTGGTATTTATGGAAAGTTCTAAAAAACAGGGCACCAGAGAATAGCGAACGCAGTATGGAAACGACAAAAGCAAGTAGCGAGAGCAGAGTAGCTTTGAGCTAATATCTATTCTCACAAATCAAGAGACAAGGCTTATTGGAGGCTTGCGATCTTTAGAACTGTTGTGGCAAGATAAGCCGTTCGAAGTGCGTTCGACATTTATGCATTCAGCGAATATTCGTCACGAACAAAAGCCTACCGAACATAAGATTTATGCAAGTCGAGAAAGAATATTAGTTTCCAACAATAATCAATTACCAAAAATAAAAAAGCAACAAGAGAAAACTTCGCTCAGAACCAATTGAAATATGTTGCTTTTCACAGTGCCGCAAAAGTGTGGATTCTGAATGTGCAGCATTAGCAGTAAAAAATAAATATGAGATGACCAAGCAAGCTGAATTGGGCACTCACTCTAGAGAAGCCCTGGTTTTTAAGAAAATAATTCGCTACCAGCATCCTGCAGGAAGCATCATCGTCAAAATGCGACCACCTTGACCTGAGTCAGATACACTCACTTGCAATTCATGAGCCGACCTGATGCCTAGAAAGCACCGAGAATGCCGTACAAAAAGAGTCTCTTTCGAGGACACCGTCCGCGAAGAATGTGAAACTGGGTCAACAAGCTCCTCGGTCTTGCACGCATATCAGATTAACTTGATCCGAAAAAGGCTGTAGTGCGGGGCAGGCGTCCATCGGGGTCGGCTTCTCTGGTAACATATTAGTTCCTACAAACCCACCATTAGAATATTAATTTTTAAGGATTTTCGTTATCCTTTGTCGAAGTCCTGAATGTAGCAAAATTTTTATAACGACCCTAATATATATATAAGAACAAAAGGAATTGTTTGTATCAAAATAAATACGCTCCCGCTTGATGAATTTTTGAAGGTGAGCTAGGACTGAAATAAAGGTTTACATTTATGGGATTCCGATAATTTGGTACCAGCCTCTTAACTAATAGAACCGTGTGTAAAAAGAGATCACAATTTATAAGGAGCAACGACATGAGACGATGATGCAATAACAACAAAGTGTAAAAAACCTGCTTTTTCTCTGGCCTCTATCTAACCAGATTCAAATATTTGCACCTCTTCGGTCGCCCGTATATCTGGATGCTCCAGGCACTGCGCCGATTTCGCGCCAGTTTTTTTGCAATGAATTGGAGCTTATTTATACACCAACGCAGGTTTTCTCGCTGTACTGAGCGGGGAAATTGGATTCGTGTAAACGATACTCCAGGTTTTCCCGCTAAAATGCCCCTGTAAAGCGATAGAGCCGGGGCGGACGGACACGCAGGACCTGATATTTTGGTGAGTTTATGAATCCTGTTTATTTAAAACATCGCAAAACACGCGCCAACGAATCAAAGTAGACTTATTGCATATGCGCCGAGTGCCAGTCAAAGACCTTTGCAGTGCGTGTCTTATTCTATTACATGTCCATATGCCTATTGCGCTGCGTTTTCGAATTGACGTACCAACTGTCCCAACTACGTGCACTACAGCCGAACACTATCGTAATCTACGAGTCAACAACAACCTGCCGACAATTTATTATCACAATGAACGGTAACCGGAAAGGCCGAGCGGCACACTTTTGCCCAAGATAAGAGAGCTGAACAGCTCGTGCTTTGTAATTCGCCTGAATTACAACGCGCGAGCTGAGTGTAAAATAAATAAATGAATAAATACATGAATAATTAAAAACAGCCTTACTTATGATGTTCGCGCTTCTTGCTTAGTGATTGGTTCTTCGGAATTATTCTTGGCTAATGTCGCAATCTTATTGGCTGGGAAGCGATAACTAGATGCTCGGCACTGGCCACACCTTACCTTTCTTAAATTAATCAATCACTAAAAGTAAAAAAAAAAAAAATGATGTAACATGCTCTACTTTGTATTTACACACTCATTAAATCTCAATTTTTGACAGTACTGATGGAACACATGCATGAATGCTAGCAATACGGTAAGCTTTGTCGTATGTACGTATTCCCACCCAAGAAAAAAAAAACATTAAAGTTCTAAATTTGCTGTTTCTGCAATTTTTAGGCAAGTTTTTAATGAAAAAAAATCCAGAATTGGGCCGATGTTAAGATCACATACTTTTATAAAAGATAAAAGAAGCCGCGTATTATATATTTTATATGTTCCAATGGGAAACGAAAAAAAAATACTGGATCAGTACCAAGATTTCGCAGCATTTTGGCGGGATTGAAATTCCCCGGGTTTTATTAATTTAATCATCAACACTTTAGTGTTTTCATCTTGTTCTTTGGCTGCAGACTTCTTTTTGTCCATGCAATCAGTTCTTGTGAAATAATGGCATTGGACCCATCAACCCGTAAGCATAGGTCAATGCTAACGAAGGAGGCTGTCAGCTCCCTAAAAAGCTCGGCAGCGAGGCTATCATTTTATATCAGGCCAGTGAATTCACAAAAATAGCGCGAACGAGACAGACTCAACGCAGACGCGAGGAAATCATAAGCAAAACAACAAAATTCTATCGCGAGTTGTGTGTGTTTAAATGCATATGTATAAAACGTAATGTATAGTTTAATCGAATATTTGGGCTGTAAACGTATAGTTTTATGAAATAGACTGGGGACCAGATGTACGATTGTACTTTTAGCTGGAGACGTTGAGTTGTACACGTCACTAAAAAAGTAAGAAATTACATTTGCAATCACCCATCGCTAAATTGTAAATAATTACAGCTACAATTAAAATTTCATAAAGGTAAGTTACCGTTACTTAAAAATGTAATCCGGTACATTCGCGGCGTTACTTTCAACCTTGCTCTCCTAAGGTAAGACACGAAACAAGTGTTATTGAAGCGGTTATTGTTGCCGCCACTCACACTTCTGTTACCTCAAAAGGGTCCTAAAAGAACTTTCTAACTGCTTTTTGTTTTTAAAATTGGCATTGAACCTGAGCGCACTGAACGCAGTACTCTAGTGAAACTTTTCTTTTCTCGAATTTTGCTTTATATTAAAAGTTATAGGGTAATTAAAGCTACAAAAACAAGCCTAAAATATCCTCCTTCATGACGTCCTTGGCCGTGGCTTGAGTGGCCGTCAACTAGAGGAGAGGTAGTGAGCTAAGCGAGCCCTCACGGCTGCCTGACTTCGTGCCGACGGCTCAAGAGGGCGCCACTAAAGCATGTTCTGGATAGGCTGTCTGAAGCGGGCGGCCGCAGCGGCTCGCATTGCATTTGCTGCGCGATTAAACACTAATTCGGCATGGCACATCATTGGCCACAAACGACAGCAAACACGGGGTACAGATCAGTTCAGAATGGGAGCCAAATCGCGCTGCCATACCGCGAAACGGCCGAACCGCAAGCCAAAGCTCCTCACCGAAGGCCTTCGGAGCGCTCGGAACCGGTCGGATCCTGCAGTCCATTCGACTCGCTTATGGCCTGAATGTCCAACGAGACTCAATGTCCAACGAGCCTGAATGTCCAATCGGTCACGTGACCGGCGAGACGGAATGTACAACGAGACGAAAGATCAAATCGAGACGGAATGTTCATCGAGGCTGAATGTCCAACGAGACGAAAGGTCCAATCGAGACGGAATGTCCAACGTGCCTGAATATCCAACGAGACGAAAGATCCAACCGAGGCGGAATGTCCAACGAGCCTGAATGTCCAACGAGTCTGAAATCCAACGAATATAGAATGAACCTTGCAAAGAGTTTAGAAGACATTTCTTTGTTGAATTGTAGGATTACTGATAGTTACGGCGGTGAAAAATGCGTTCGATGAAATGGGGAACCGGACATTTCGGTGTGGAGATATCGGTACGCGATCATTTCGGTATTCGGTCGCTTCGGCACTGGGCTTTTCAGTACCGGGATTTTGATGCACGGCTATTTTGATATGCCGCTGAGCTTGTCCCACTGACGTTGCCTCTGTGAAGTCCCCAAAATGAAATTAAAATTATGCTCGTATATTTTGTAGACTTCATAAAATCCAGAAAACAATTCATTTATTGTTCGTTTTATATCTCTAAATATAAACATGATATCTATAATTTAAAAAAAAACGTTTAAAAGGTCACACATTCTACAAGATCGAAGACCGAACTCGTTGACCATTTACAACCTGTCACGCGTTTTATTTTAGAAGGTCGTACCTCTGGCCCGGAAACAAATGTGGGACCCACCAGCGTCCTCAGCCACCGTTTTTCCGTATTGTACGAGTTGCTATATTTTTCTTATCCGTGTCCCTAGTCCCGCAA